TCCGTGACCGATGGATAAACATGGCTGCATTCTATATGACTGACGTGACAGGCATGACCTCTCCGTGACCGATGGATAAACATGGCTGCATTCTATATGACTGACGTGACAGGCATGACCTCGCCGTGACCGATGGATAAACATGGCTGCATTCTATATGACTGACGTAACAGGCATGACCTCGCCGTGACCGATGGATAAACATGGCTGCATTCTGTATGACTGACGTAACAGGCATGATCTCTCTTTTTTTACCAGGTGCCAGGAGGATGGGCTTGGTGTAGTCAGGGTGAAAGAGCCGGATCAGCGTGTAGAAAGGCCCCAGGAACCAGGCGCACGAGTGCTGGAAGGTGCTGACAAGCTGGTCAACTGCCTGCAGACCCTCCTCTGTGTTCTGCATCTGGGAACACATGCAAACCATAATCCCAACTGTAACACCCTAACCCTACCCAGCCATAACCTTAAACATAAGTAACCAAACAAAGTAGACTTCTGGCATTTTTACTTTATTGACTGAGTCACAGATTTTTATAAAACTGAGTTTCTCCTTGTGGGGTGGTTCCCATGACGCCAAAATAACAGGTTTTTCTTACATTGTGGGGACATTTGGTTCATGATGTAATCTATACATGACCACACACAGTGATGGCACTGAGCTCAGGCACGTGCACTGCACAGACAGCACTCCTCCAGGCACTTCCTGTGCATGTCTGAAATTAATCTTCCAGCTGATTTGAGGCTGTTTGTATTATGCAAACACTGGCCTGTTTTGAAAATATTTCCAAAGCACTGTACAAACACGCCCAGAGCACTGAAGCGCACTGTAAACACGCCAGTTTTATCAGTTTCCAGTCTTCCTCCCTCTTGTCCCTTAACAATTACCTACAATTACCTGTCCTCAGTGTCATAATTCATCTGTAGCTAAGTAGCATTTAAGATTCCATACTAGTGAACTAACAGTCCTGTCGTTGGGAAGCCAGCACAGTACCTCAGTGCTCCCGGTGTGTGGCTCTGTGGGTTAGGATCCTGACGTTTTGTTCAGAACGTTGCCGGTTCAGATCCTACGGTCAGCAGAGAGGTTGCGCCACCGGCCCCTTAGGTGAGGCCCTTTATTTCCCCTTTTATTAGGCCTGTCACTTCCTTTTATTCTGTGTTTTGCGCTCTGAATGGCCACTGTGTTTGAATATGACCTACACCCATAAACCTGCCTTGACTTTACCCTCCTTGTACCAGGGATTGTCTGACGCTGCTTTCATAACTGCACATTGCTTGGGATAAAAGTGTGTGTTAAGTACATTCATGTGAATACAGGTATCTTGCCAGTGAGCTGATCTCAAAGCAGGAGCCCAGATGTCGCAGAACATCCTAATGTCACTATCAGGTGAACAATAAACACAAGCAGATCTAAGTCATCTGTAAAGCGGAAGGCTTTACTTTCATTTTAGCCCTTAGCAATTGGAATGTAATGGTAATGTGTATTTAAACAAGAAAATTTCATACATGAATAGGAGTTTTGCTTTTCTGGTTTATTTCTCAAATGTAATCAGCAGTTCCAGCCTTCATCCCCTAAGCCTAATTTCAGCATGGGGCACAGTCCGTGTTGACAGCCCTGGGGGGGCTAGTCTCTGAGCCATCATGCCTATGGGCAGAATTATAGTTATAAGAGATTAACCAAAATGCAGCCCCCCTCCCATATTATAATGCACTGCACGTCCGATGGCTTCATGCTGACATGAGGAGTATGTAGCAGCTGAGAACACCCCCTGCAGCCTCCATATCAGCATGATGGTGCGCAGACCAGCTTGGGGAGGGACATGATTTTGACGTGGGTGGGGAAGGGGCTGGGAGATCCCTCATTATCATTTTCAGTTTTGTACACTGCACCACTCATTAGCTCATCAGGCCGAGTGCCGCGTCTGACGGAGCCCCCGTGTGGGTGGCTAACCGACCACTGCCGTTGGCTTTGAGGGCAGTTACGCCTGGCACACGGGAACGTTCACACGGCACCTCTGTCTCTCCTCTGACAGGCTGCTGCAGTGCGAATGTGAAGCACAATGGCCCCAGTCATTTATATTTCAACAATTTTCCAGGATCATGGGCGGCATGGGGACCTGGGTGGGTGTACTGAAAGATATCCAAAGTGGAAGAATGAAAAAACACCATATTTTCTATTAAATTATACAAAGATTGTGGCCAACGGTGGAGATTTCAGGTCCAGAAAGTACAAATCCAGACCAAGATTTTGTTTTAACCAACCAGTTAGATACTCTGTGACTGTGACTCTTTATACTCAACTGGTTGGTTCTTGGTCTGGATTTGTACTCTCTGGACCTGAACTCTCTACCTCTGGTTGTGGCTATGAAAATCGTATTGTTCAGGTCTCACAGTCTTCAGTTAAAAACAGAACAGACACTGGTGACCCTTGTTTTGTTTCATGTTTCCAACACACTCTGTAGTCTTTCATTAATATACATACAGCACAGTGGTCGGGACTCAGTTTCAAAGCACCCGTATGCTGTTGGCTGGTATTACATTTTCAATGTGAGGCAAGTCTGCACACGCATTTACATGCATGTAACAGTTTTATTAGCATGCAAATAGTCTGTAGGGTTTGCAAACTACCCCAACGCTGTTCATGTAGCTAATTTAAGTTTATAATGGAATAATATACTTTTGCTGTAAGATTTCTTGCATGACCGTGAGAGTTGGCGAACTGGACTGTCACGCCAAACGCGTGAGAGTTGGCCTCCCTGTGTTCCCTGCTTTCTGTGTCACTGCCTGAGGCCGTGTTTCCCAACCTGGTGCTCAGGAACCCAGGGATTGGGAAACGCAGGCCTGAGGGACTCCCCCTCATCTAATCATATCATGTTTTTTCCCACGTAAGTGATACCACCATTGTGCAAAGCTTATTTAGCATTTTAAAAACCAATTTCAAAGTTGTACAATAGCAGAGCTGGAATCAGCTAGCTGCCTGTTAACATGCTACCTTGGACTGAGCCACCAGGCGCACACACGCAAACATTATGGTTCCGTATGCAATTCTGAGAAGTACTAACGTTTACACATTAGCTACGCACCTTACGCCCATACATGAATATAAGGAAACTGTGACTGACATCACTCGAAGCCAATGAAAACAGGGGGTATTTAGGATGGACCAATCTCATTTCAAGGGAGAGCCAGGGAAGGGTCCGCATAATGGTGTAACGTGTAATGGTGTAACGTGTAATGGTGTAACACTTTAGGGGCGTAACAAGTAGCATGAGGCATGTCTAGTACTTTTCTTAATCACATAAACCAGTTCATTTTTCTCAGGATAGCTCAATGGCATAAACTTGCCTAGATTAACTAGACTGGTTATTAATTATTAATTGCTATTAATAATGGTTATTAATGCTTAGGGAAGCGCACTTGTAATTGAAAGATTGCAGGTTCGAATCCCCGACCAGCAAGGCATCACTGAGGTACCCTGAGCAAGGTACCGCCCCCAAGCACTGCTCCCTGTGTGCTGAATTAGCTGCCCCCTGCTATGTCACATTGTCACATTTGGGTTAAACGCAGAGGACACATTTTGTTGTTGTGCACTGTGTGCTGTGGTGTGTCAACAATGACCACTGATCTCTAAATTCTAAATTCTTATTTTTTAACCTGTCTATCCTAAATATTTTTTTCAGTTCAATTTGATTTTATTAGATAAAGTCTAACTGGTTATAGCCTAATACGTTTATCATTACGTTTGCCCTCAGTTCATTTACTGATGAAGAGTACAGTCAATGTTAAACTTCCATATTTGTAATGGGACGTTACTACCAAGTGGGCGTGCCTTGTAGGAGGTGTTACTTGTACTATTACTACCAAATGGCTATGCCTTGTAGTAGGTGTTACTTGTACTATTACTGCCAAGTGGGCGTGTCTTGTACTGTGATGTCATTGTTAAATGGCCATGCCTTGTAGGAGGTGTTGCGTGTACTGATATTACTGCAAAGTGCGCGTGTCTTGCAGTGTGATGTCATTGTTAAATGGGCGTGCCTTGCAGTAGTTTGTTTTGTAGAGGCTTTTATCCAAAACATCATACAATTGAGAGAGCTGGGTCAGGCGGTCCCTGGGGCATTTGGGGTGAAGAGCTTTGCCGACCCTGGGAAGCAGCGAGCTTCTGATCATGGCACCCTAAGACGCTGAGTCACACTCGGCAAGAAAAAACGCTGCCGGTAATAGGAGCCGAAGCGGGAAATAGTTTGTGTGAGGCCGCGTGTATGGAACCGTCCTCACTATGTTAAGGGGACAGTGGCATTTTACCACAATAATGAATTGTTTTGGTATCTTTCTCCCAAGATTTTTGTTTGCAGGATCGGCAAGGGTGGAAGCAGATGGGCGCGCACATGTGGAACCTATGTAGAGTCTTTATTTATATTTATTGCCCTTTTGTCCCTTGTGGTAGGGTGGTACCCTTATATCCAGAGGGGAATGGTAGCTCCCAATTAGAGGGGCGGGGACAAGGGTTTATAAGATGGTGGAAGGGTTAGTTTCTTTTTTTCTGGGGCCCAGCTACTTGTGTGCTCTTGGAGTGGGAGGTCCTTAGGTGTGTGGGGACTAGAGGCCACAGTTCAGTCTGGTGTACTTGTTTTTTTTATTTGTTTGATAGTTATTTGTATTAGTTTTCCTTTGTTTGTTTTCTTTATTTTTTCTCTTGTTTTTGGAGCATTTGGTGGGAGAAGCCAAAACATGAGCTGATGCCTAAATAAATCACCAATCTTTTTTGGATGTTTCGTTGTCTTTGCCCGACCCTGAGACCTCTCGACACCTTACCCCATGACATTTGGTGGCAGCGGTGGGATCCAGTGTTCTGCCAGGGTCGGTGCTTTGCATTGTGATGTCACAGCCAAGTGGAATGCAACCACCAGTGACACGAAGCAAGGCTGGCATAGGTACTATTGTGGTACCTTCAGTAGTAGAGGAAGGTGATGTGGCATCTAGGCCATACTCAGCACCCCCAGATGACCGTCTGCTGAGGCTTGAGACTGCACTAACCTCATTCATTCAGGCGCAGCAATCGAGAGATGACAGATTGGAGCGAGAGTCACAGCGTCAGGACCAAAGGTGGAGGTCACTGCACCATCAGTTTCAGCAACTACAGTTGTTAGTGAGCATGGAGCACGTGGGTCCCCAGCCAGCAGCGGGAGTGGTAGACCCCTCACTGGACTCCGCGTCATTGCCTGAGCTTCGTCAGGGTTCTGCGCAGGTG